AGAGTCATTGCTGCTGAGTCAATTCTGACCCCTATAGACACCATAGGGCAGGATAGGACTGCCCTGTGGGTTTCCTAGACCAACTCTTTAAGGGAATAGAAGCGCTCACCTGTCTCTCGAGGAGTGGCTTGTGGTTTCGAACTTCTAGCTTTGGTGTCAGCGGCCTGTGGGGGACCAGCCTCGGGTCCAAGGGGCGGTTGTGTAATTGAGGGGTAAATGAAAGAGACATCAGACAAGGCAAAGCAATGCAAGGGCTCACCTCCTCCATGACTTCAGGAGCCAGGTCCACGCATAGAGAGATAGTATTCTCATCATCATCTTATATACTCTCGAGGCGTGCAAGCACTTCTAATAATTTTTGGTGGGGGGGGATATTGATTGAGGTGTGTGACAGGACAAAGGGTGGGGGTAAGGGTGGATAGACATGAGGACAGAAAAGGTCATAAATTGAGACACAGTGGGGGTGGGGGCGGAGAGAGAGATACCCAGCGGGATAAGAAGATAAAGAAATGCAGAGATCTTAAGAGGGGGGAGGCCAAAGGCAGGAAGGCAGCGATGGAGAAGGACGAAGCCAGGTGGACAGAGAGTCGGACAGAGGAGGAAAGGAGGCCGTGGGTTGCGGTAGTGTTAGGTTCCTGCAGTGGGCTACACCTCAGTTCTTGGCTTCGCACGCTGAGAGAATTCACACGGAAGCATGTTGTGTGATCCAAGTGAGTTTATACGCAAGCCCCTCTAACCACAGGTCCCCACTGATGTAAGAGGAAGGGGATGTATTAGAGGCACACAAGTGACAGGAGGGCACACATGTTCACAAGGTGGGTGGACTCCAGGGACGAGTGGTGTGTCCTTGAGCTCTCCTCCAGGGGATCGAATCCAGGGTCCTTATCAGAGGGAGTGGGTTGTATCTAGGGCGGGACAGACAATCCAATCGGGTCTGACTGCTCTCGATGGCAGACGACCTTCAGGCAGATAGCCTTCAGCAGTTGACCTTTAAGAATATAGTCAGTGACCATACGTTTGCAAACAGCACCTTAAAATTGGCATTATCATGGGGAGGGGGCTTGAGGAGAATGACTTCTACTTAGGGGAATGTGAGTGGGGCGGATCTCCAGCCCATGAATGTGAAGGTTCGCTCCACCAGGAGGGAGCCTGGGCCTCCCAGACTCCTTCACGCATGGATGTTGAGAGATTATCCGCAGACACTCTCTTCCCAGTTCTGTTTCCCACAGAAATCCAACTCATCCGCACCACACCCCAGGGCTCCTTAAAGAACATTTAGAGGGTGGTCAACACAACAAGAGGTGGTGAGGACCAGAGCGTGCCATTAAAGGCTGGGGAGAGGGCACATTCTAGAATCTTCTCACTGACCATCCTTGTCTTGAGGATGTATGCATTCCAGCAGAAGAGACCAAGACCAGACTGGAAGAATATAGATAAGGTGGCCAGATAGGCTTTGCCCGAGGGAGGGAATCCTTATATCCAACAAAATGACTCATGCTTTGTACAGAATGCAGATTCAGCTAGATCGGGCACCTGGAAATAACAACCTACGCAAGAACAGAGCCACACGTGGAATTGTGTGGTACATTCCATGAGTCAGGGGCCCTGGGGGCGCAACGGCGAAGCCCCTGGCTGCTCCCCATGCAGCCCATCCATCTGTTCCCGTGAAGATGGCCCCAAACAAAAGCCACTGCCTTCCAGTCAATCTGGATGTGGAGCGGTCCATGGGACAGAGTACAGCTGCTCCTAAGTCCCCAGGCGTAGTGGATATGTGTAGGGCTGCTAACCACAAGGTCAGCGGGTCAAAACCACCAGCTGCTGTGTGGGAGAAAGATAAGGCTTTCTACTCCTGGGAAGAGTCACAGTCTCCGAAAGCCACAGGGCAGTTCTACCCTGTCCTGTAGGGTCGCTGTGAGTCGGTATTGACCTGGTGGCCGTGAGTAGGGCCACTGAGTCAGAACTGACTGGATGGCACACAGCACTACCACCAGACAGAGGTCCCGAAGGCTTCCTGGAGGAAGGGGCAGCTAAGCCTGTGTCCAGCACTCTGGACAAAGGGGTTCTGGTCTGGGGCTCATGTGAAAAGCTATGGCCATGTCTCTGCGACCCTCTCCCACCCTGCCAGAGCCAGTGTCCCAGCCTGAGGTCAACTTTACCCTGATGGACGGAGGGTCAGGCCCCAGGGTGGAGGTGATCTGCCAGGTGTCCTCGGGCAGCCCACCTGTGACCTACAGCCTGGTTGGGAAGGACGGACACATCCACAGCCAGCAGAGACCTCCCCACGGGCGGCCTGCCAACTTCTCCTTCCCGCTGGCTGGGATGCCGGCCTGGCTGCAGTGCCAGGCAGAAAACAGCGTCAGCGTCCAGGCCAGCGCCCTCACACTGCTGCCACCAGGTGAGGGGCCCCTGGGCTCTGAGGGAAGCTGGCTCTTTTGCAGTGGGAGGTGGTCACCTCCCCACACTCCCTGGGGAATCTTGGGGCAGGTTGGTGGGAGGTGGCCAGCCTTTGAGTCAGAGAGGGACTGGGAGAGCCAGGTCCATCCTGCGCCTCCCTAATGGGGACACTCAACCTGATCATCCTGACCCCACCTCCCCAGGAGAGCTGCCCCAGGGCCCCATCTTGGTGCTGGCTGGCAGCCTCACCTGCATTGCAGCTGTGACTTCTGGAATGCTGGGCTGGACCTCAAGGGCCAGGTAGGAAGTGGTGGGGGGTGGGGGGTGCGAAGCTGGGCTGGGCTGCCTATGGCAGATGGGAGCAGTAGGACAGGCTGCTGCCCAGGGTGTGGCTGTGAGCTAGTGTGTGCCAAACACTCAGCTGACCAGGACGAAAGTCCCAGCCACCCACCCTGTGATGGCCAACTGACCTGTGTCCCTGGTGAGGTCCAGGGAGCACAGAGGGCTGCACTGTTGAGCGCCACCCAGGCCAGTCCCTCTCAGGTGGTGACAGGGGCTGGGCCTCCAGGGTCATCATGACTGGGAAGGCCACCTGGTGTTGCTGGTTGCGGGCCTACTTGTCTTACCTCGCTTTGGCAGGTGGGTGGGTGGCAGTAGTCAATGCTTCGTGGACTGCTTGGTTTCTGAGGCACCCAGAGATGCACACTGGAGCTGCCCAGGGTTCAGCTTTTGACACCGCCCTGCCTCACCTGGGTCCTTCCTCCCACACTGCCTCTCTGAGCTTCAGTTGTCCCCTCCATAAAATGGGGCACTAAAACTAGCCCCATGACCAACGCTGGCCTCGGGATGATTCAGGCCCCCTTTTGTTTGTGGGGTGAGTCGGCCTCCCAGTCCTCATTCTTGCCTCTGGCACAGATGCACCCAGCTCCATAAAACTCGGGGCCTTGGGAGGGGTGGCCACTGGCCTAACCAGGCTGTCGACACCTCTCATCCAGGTTGTGACCAGAAGATACAGTGGGCAGAGTCCCAGGAAGCCCCAGGTGCTCACCTTACAGACACACAGACCTCCAGGCCCGGCGCCTGGGAATCCACACAATTATCGCTCGGAATTTGTGTCACAGATGGAGATGTTTCCTGGGGGGTGGGGATGGCTGTACAGGCCAGGGGGCTAGCTGGAAGCAGGGACTGTAGAGTGGGGGCAGTGCATGAAGGCCCACATACTTGGGTCTAGCAGGTCAGTGCACACCTGACCGGCTCCCTTCTCCTTCCCTCTTCTCTGCACTAGCGCCCCACCTCCTAGTGGCTCCGCCCACTCACCTCCACAGGGGACTGTGGACACTGGTGGCCTGCACCCACTCCTAACCCACCCCAGAAACTAGCAGAGTGTGTGGAACCCCTCCCCCCTCCCTCCCAGGCCCTGTGGCGCCCAGAGAAACCGCCCCCATTCTCAAACTGTTTGGGGAATTAAAGTGGATTAAGCTTGGTCCTGCGGCGTTGCTATGAGACAGATTCTGTCTGGAGGGCATGGCCGGGTTTGGGTAGAAGCTCTGCCGCCTGCGTGCCACCCTGGGAACTCCCTCGGTCTTGCCCACCCTGGTGGAACCTGGAAGTGGGGAGTCAGACCACCGGGGCGGTTCCAGGAAGAACTGGGGCCTGTGGGGGACCGTGGAAGAGCCATGGTTAAACCAAAGGGCGGTTGCAACCCACCAGCCACTCCTTCGGGGAAAGATGTCGCCACTTCCCTAAAGAAACCCCGGGGGCAGTTCCACTCCGCTCTTTAGGGTCGCTTTGAGTTGGACTTGACTCGATGGTAGTGAATTTATTTGGGGGAGGAAGAGGGGGAGGGGGGCGTCCAGGACCCGACCCAAGGCATCGCTCCAGAGAAAATGAGTGACCAGAAGACCTCGGGCCCTTCCTGGGTCAGCCTGCAGGCCAG